TTACTCACAACGATGTCACGACTCCTGTGAAAAAGTTTTGTTCTTAAGTATCATGTACTTGCGTGCAATTAATTGTATTTTATATTCATACAGCCTTACAGACAAAATATACATAACTGAAAATCCCCGGGTCTGAGTGGTAAGGGGATATTGTATATAACTGTAATTCAATACACATTTAATTAAACCATCTAAATTTAACAAGTGCATTCGTATTTGATATACTGTGTACTAAATTAATAACGCACAAAATTTGTACCTTTTTATCAGACTCGGAACATTTTGTTTAGTAGAGAAGGGGTACTTTCACCTATAACGAAATTGCATTGGGCGAATTAAGTAGCATTTATATGTTGTTCAAATATTTTATCAACTGAAATTTAAACCCAATCGCATCAACGTATGTGCGAGGTTTGGCTGTAAAGTTCTGCGCCCGTCAATAATGTTGTTCTTCTACGTGAGCTTTGACGTAGTCAATGCATATAGTGGTTTGCAAACAAACCGACTACTTTTAAACATTATTACATTTGATTTGCGTGGTGCGATGATAGGTTACACTTAAACAATTTCAAAAAATCATTTCGTGAAATATTTATTCATTCAACACTGAACCATATATTATTATTTTTATGGAATCAAAAAAAAATATACAACATTAATGTGTGCTTTGCTTGTTAGATAGTTATCCATGTGGATTCTATTTAGATATTATATATCACCAGTATTAGACTATTGTATGCAAATGTAACCCTCGGAAACTGTAGTACTTAATATTATATGTTTTGATATTTACATTATACACTATTAAATTGTGTAATATTGTACGTTATTGTACTTTTGATACAAAAAGGATTTTATGACAAACTAAGAATCCTTTTAGATTTTTTAAAATGCAAAAATTTGCTATATTTTATTACGGTGATCAGCGTAATTGTGACTATGGGAATTGTAAAAGCCTATATTAAAAAAATCTTTCACATTTGACCAATTTGCTAAAAATGCAGAAAATGGAACTGTCAAATAATTGCAGATGTAGAACCGATTTGTTTCATGAAAACATTGCTGTATAATACATGAATTTAATTTCGGGACATTTAATGTGATTTGAAAATAAAAGTATAAGTAGTTCTTCGCGAAAAAAAGGCTACGAAAACGTGGACTATAACTATTGGCATCAAACACAACACACGGTATTTTGATAAAGAGTTAAACTTTGATAGCAAAATTGCGAACGTTATACTCAATCTGAAGACTGGATCCTAGATAGACATTTTATACTATTACAGCAAGTCTCAGAAGTATTGGGACAGCTAATTTGCAAACTCGCTAGCGAATTGGTTAACTGCTTTTGTTTTGACTAAACAGTTGGGTTTCGAATCTCGCTGGCGCCGTCTTGTGGTCATGTCCACTCTGGACGAATCTATATAACAGCAGGGGACGGTCATCATACTTTAGGAGCTAATAAGCCACAGTTGGATGACCATTTCGCTTTCAAATATACCAGGGAAAGTGTTCTATGTGTAATGAGGTCGATTTTTTCAGTAGTTGGCTAATTTACCCCGACGAATCATTTAGATGTGAAAGTTTGTAATTTTCTTCCTGATTTGTAGGAAACTGTTTATCAACGTGTCATTTTATTTTGTTTCAAGCAGTATTCAAGATGGCTACCCCCATAAAGTAAATATCGGCGGATTAATCGCATTTATCATATAATCGCCTTACGCCAGCTGACTATGGCCATTCTCAGGCTTACCAGGGAAACTACTTTTATATTATCACGCCTCGTAACAAAGTAAATCATTCAGGGGAATCTAGACATGCTCCTACCAGGCTACGTAAAAGCATTCTATGTCCCATAATGCAACTTAGATTCGCCCAGAGTGGACGCGGCCACGATTCGGCGCCAGCGAGATTCGAAAGCCAACTGTTTAGTCAAAAGCCAAGCAATTAGCCAATTCGCTAGCGAGTTTGCAAATTGACTTCCCCAATACTTATGAGACTTGCTATAATAAAATAAAACTGACAAGCTTCATTACTGATTACCTAAACTGAAAGAACTTCACAAATTACGTAAGAATATAAATGAGCCGTCGATTAACAATATTAGTTGATCAATAAACTGTACTCTTAATGTGTGATTTTTGTATAACATTTGTTATAAACGTTGTACTCTCTTGTACTCTCATTTTAAAAAGGCTCTCTAAAAAGTATGGATCACGTCAAAAAAATAGTAACGCCCTCTATGTCGAATATTCAAACTCGACTAATATTTTCATTATTATTTTACGTTTTATGTATCAAATATATTGAAATTATTGTGTTTTGGGGTCATTCGTTTACACTGTTTATGCTTTCCTGTACCCAAATGGTCAGAATAATAACTTATAATAATAATTATTATTATTTATAATTTTGACTGATTTCCAGTTGGTATCGGTGTTAATCAGAGATTAGCTCGCATGAACTAAACCTGGTTGGATTATGCTATCTGGTATGGAAGCTCATTTTGTTTTCTCGATAGTGTACAGGGTCGTCCCGTGCTACCCTAACCGCATATATGTTTGGGGATATGAAATGGTTGCCTAGTAACTATATCGGGGTACGATAGTGCTAATATGCTTATGAGACACACTACACCCTAAACGAATTTAGACACACAATAAAGTGTTGAACAAAATTGCTAAACTTGTGTTTAATAAAGCCAGTAAGTCAGTATATTCCAGTTATCTGTCTCTCGCAATAACCATGCGCCCTATAGCTACTTCAAAGTATCCAGGACACAGAGAAAAAAAACTTGCAGTTGTCTACCATATTATTGTACAAA